TTAGGGACAGTAACTAAAGACAAAGCCAGAAACAGCAGAATGATTAAATTCAGGACTCTGCAAAGGTGAGAATTAGAGGAGGACAGATATACATGGAGGGTTGTCAGGGTCAGAAAGTTACTGAGAAAGACTGGGACAAAGTTTTGGGAGGGATTTGAAAATAAGTTGAAGACTGTTAAAAATGAGGCAATGCTTATACGTAAGAAAGCATAGGATGACGGATAACAGGAGATTGTAGAAGCAGCATTTTAAATGAGAATTGGAAATGGGAGATCAGTTGGACGAAAAGAAACAGGGAGTTGGGTTTCTCGAGACCGTTCTGTCATTCAATAACATCATGGTTAAACTTCACCAGTGTTTTTCTGCATCTTTGCTTCTCTCCTCTCACTTCTACATCTGTGTAACAATCTCACACATATTTGATGACACAGCCTCCATTGCTCACTAGGGCAGCATATTCCCAGCATTAACCCACTGAGGAAAAAAAAATTAATCACAACTTTTTGTGCCCCAAGTTCCACGGCCCCATGAATTGGAACATCTTCATACCCACTCAGAACTTTACATGTTTCAAAGCAATCATCTCTCATTCTTCCAAGCCAGACCTACTCATGGAGCCTGCCTTCAAAACGGGAGGGGCAATGACGTGGAGGTATTGCACCAGACTATTCTGGGCATCTGGATTTGAATCCCATCATGGCAGCTGGTGGGTTTATAACGTACCAAACCTGGAACTGAAGGTCAAATAATAATCAAGAAACCATTGGTGCTTGTCATTATAAATCATTTGGTTCACAAATAGCTTTCCAGGAAAGAAACCTGCCGTGCTCACCTGGACTGACCTACATTTGACTCCAGACCCATAACAATGTGATGGATTGTTAACTGCATTCTTAAACTGCCTAGGAAGCCTAATACATACTGTCCCAACACCAGAATGTGGCCAGCAGAGGTGGTGACACAGTGGTAATACAGTCAATCAGGAGTCAGCCTGGAAGCCCACAAGATTGACCCCAGACTTCATATAGTCTCATGGCATCAGGTATAACATAGGCAAGGAAACCTCCCGCTGATTGCCTCATACCCTCCAACAGTTGGCTGATGAACTAAGACTCCTCATTATTGGGCACCACCAGAAAAAGACACTAAGGGCAGCAGGGACTGGGTCTGCAGCAGGTGGTGAAGGAACCAACATTACTGTTTCAGTAGGAGTGACTACCAGCACAATCTTTGTCGAGATAAAACCTGTCTTCACGTCAAGAGTACCCTACAACATGTTGGATGGCACTAGAGCTGTGCTAAATGGGATACACTGCCACTCAACCTGCAAACTGATGGCCCAGCATATCCCCCACTCCAGCATTACCATCAAGTCAGAGGGTTAATCATGGTTCATTGAAGATTGCAGGAGGGCATGCCAGGATCAGTACCACCAGGTAGAACTAAAAACAAAGGCTGGCCTTGGCAGTGACACTCATTCCATGAAATTAACATACAGATAGCTCTATACCACAGCATTCTGCACTCTCTTCATCAAAATTAATATTATGTTTTTCTCTCCTCCCGTCCAAAGTGGGCAAATACACATTTCCTACATTCTGGCCCATCCACTTGACCTACCTATAGCTCATAGAAAACCCTGTATTGTCCTCATAACTTGGTTTCCTACCTGTTCTTGTATCATTGGAAAATTGTGGTCACATTCACGTCAGCTCCTCGACCAAAGTCACGTAAATCGTTGACACCAACGCACTGATCCTTGACAGGCAGGCCAGTCGTAACCATTTGTCAATCTTAAAATTACCCGTTTAGCCAGATGCTATTTCCCCCGGTAGTTATACAATACTCAATACATTTTATTACATGCTGCACCCCGCCTCTCCAACACACATACATCATGGACCCTTATTTTGCGAGTATCGTTTTGTGAGGTACCTTACTGAACGCTTTGGAAAATCTAAACATTACATCAACTGAAGTCTTAGAGACCTAAATTTGTCAAACAGGACTCCTGCAGTTTCATGCTTTCTGTTCCACCATCTTGAATAGCACTGTTACATTTGCCATTTGTCAATCCTCTGGGACCCTTACAGAATCTAGGGAATTGTGGAATATTATTTCAGCAGGTGTTGTATAAGATAGTGGTTCTGAAAGAGTTATTTTTGAAGTTCCAACAGAGACAAAAACAGAAATTGCTGGAAAAGCTCAGCAGGTCTGGCAGCATTCGTGAAGAAAAATCAGGGTTAACGTTTTGGGTCCGGGGACCCTTCTCTTGAACCTTCTTAAGGAAGAGTTACTTGAGCCGAAATGTTAACTCTGATTATTCTCCACAGATGCTGCCAGACCTGTTGAGCATTTCCAGCAAATTCTGCTTTGTTTCTGAGTTACAGCATCCACAGTTATTTGAGAGATTTATCAGATAAATCTCTCAAGAAAAGGCAGTCCAACAGGAGGTCCTGACTGAGACAGACAGATCATCTTCAGCTCCTGACAGTCTTCAGGCTTGTAGCTTCCTATTTCCAGCATGTAATAAATAGGACCCACTTCATCTCCAGAGAGTAATATTCACATTAGTCAGGTAGAATTAATTAGTAAGTAATCATGCAGATATCATCAGGAGCTTATTTCAGTGTCAAACATAAACCTCCTGGTTCAATCCCAAAAACTTGCCAGGAAAAGGAATGGCAAACTAGAGGAATGGTGCGCTTGGCTAAAAAATAAACTGTGAAAGGGACTGAAGGCTCCTAAATTTTTCAGTACTTAACTGAAGGAAACTTATACTTATCCCATACTGGATATCAAAGTGGCAGTTAAACAATTTAGGTTCAGTGTCCAAAACTGAACAGCACTCAAGAAAGGTGCTGGACCAAGCAATGTAGAACAAAACACCTCCCCACTTTTGTTCCCCAACCATAAAGGCCAACTTTCCAATCACCCTTTTAATTAATTTTTATACCTACGTGCTAAGTTTTGATGAATGCATCCAAATCTCTTTGCTTTCCATCACCCATGGTCCATCAACTGCTAATGACAACATGAGAGGATAGACACTGCTCCCATCTGAGGGGGTACTCGGGTATTTAACATCTTAGCTCAATAACAGCATCTGGCTGTGCAGCCTTTTCTCAGAACTGCAATGAAGTCACAGCTCATAACATGCACTCAGCTCTTGGGAGTGTCATGGAGTCATAGAAATGTATAGCATGGAAACAGAGCCATCAGTCCAACTCATCAGCACCAGATATCCTAAACTGAACTGATCCTATTTGCCAGCATTTGGCCTGTGTCCCTCTAAACCCTTCATAGTCATATACCCATCCAGATGCCTGTTAAATGTTGTAATTGTATCAGCCTCCACCAGCACCTCTGGTAGTTCATTCCATGCATGCACCACCCTCAGCATGAAAATACCCTTTTAAATCTTTCCCCTCTCACCTTAAACCTATGTCCTCTAGTGCTGGACTGCCCTACCCTGGGAAAAAGATCTTGGCTATTCCATGCTCCTCATGATTTTATAAACCTCTATAAGGTTACCCCTCGGCCTCTGATGCTTCAGGGAAAATAGCTCCAGCCTATTCAGCCTCTCCCTGTAGCTCAAACCCTCCAACCCTGACAACATCCTTGTAAATCTTTTCTGAACACTTTCAAGTTTCAGAACATCTTTGCTATAGTAGGGAGACTAGAATTGAATGCAGTACTCTAAAAGTGGCCTCAACAATGTCCTGTACAGTTGCACCATGACATCCCAACTCCTGTCCTCAATGCACTGACCAATGAAGGCAAGTGTGCCAATCGCCTTCTTCACCATCATATACCTTTTTCAAAGAACTATGCACCTGTGCCCCCAGATCTCTTTGATTTTGATTATTTTGACCAGAAGCAAAAATGCTGACATGGAGTCCCAGTGTACACTTCAATCTCCTCCCAGAAGCAGCAAGCACAAATTTCTTTCCACCTTTAACCCCAATGACCAGTGACAGGCTCCCAAATGTAGGTGGGAACACCATCAGGATTTATAATGAAAATTAAATTAGCTTAACCACCATTAATAAATTCATGCAAGTCAACACATTTGAAAAATCCATGATCAGGGCATCAATTATTGCCATGAAGTATCAGCCCTCAGGTTCTCTGATCACCTGCACATTCTTGAAGACATAGCACATCATCCCGACTTATGCATCCATACTTCCAATATACTCTTTAATCTAACATTTACACAGATTGCTCTGAAATTCAACCATTTAAATCTTTCTGTTGGATGAATTAATTAATTAAAAAAAAATAAATTTGTAGGTCACATCACAAGGTGCTAAACATCACTTTGGCAACTATATAAATTCATTTAAATCATGTACAAGATAACCTTCTTCACTACTAAAAAAATAATTTTGTTCATTGTAAAAGGTCCCGTAATTGAAACTAAAATTCCATTTTTATTCCTTTGCCCACTCTGCACAGAAAGTCAGTTCAGATGGTCACAAAAGAAATGACAAGGTCATTTTAGCAATAGCTTTCCAATGATTTGCAATCCATCAACTGAGTTACTTTAACTTGGCAACAGCTCCATAAAGTGAAGACTGTGTTTCAATCTTCTCTTGACAATATATTTCAAAGAAAATTGGGGTTATTTAGTGTGACTTTAGTGCTACAACCAAAACTATTGGCAGTATCTAACCTTCCCTTATTACCTGCTTAAATGCTTCATCAAAAAGCTGTTCAACACATTAATACACTACAATATTTCTTTGAACCAATTTCTGTCACATCAGGTTAAAACCTGACAAATGATTTCCATTAAATATAAATTCCTGAAATTCTTAGCAATAAAGCAACTTATTCAGGTCCATGCATCTTGTCATCATATGCCAATACGACACCAGCATTGAAAATTCAGGCGCTTTTTTTTTCCTGAGAATTCTGTTACACAAAATTGAAACCAAGTCTTCCAAATCAATAGCAAAGCCCCAAAATAGTCGCACAAATTGTCCTTTTCTCACCTTCTGGCACATTATGCTGCAAATGCAACATATCTTCAGCTCTGACATGCCTCCAGTCAAAGTCATCTTCCTGATCTTGCCAATATCCACATGGTTCCAGGCCTTCATCAAAAGTGCAGCCTCCTGTGACCAAAACAAGAGATAAAATAAAATGCTAAAGGAATAACAGATCTAAAAGAAATAATCGGGTTCACCTTACATTTTCCACGTACAAGGCTTCTACAAGTCTTACGAGTTGATCTTGATACTTGAGTTGATGTACCTAACTGCTTCTCATCCATTCACAAGACAATTAATTGATTCACACAGCAAGGTTGTACAGTTCTCTTCAATGGGGTCTCGAAACATTCTCTGCCAGTACTCTGTGGTTACCTGCAACTGTTTGTCACTATCTGTGAAGCTGTATTTCCTAACAGCAATCTTTACCTTCAAATCAGGCAGAAACTATGCCCCTTCATCCTACTGTCACTTTATAGTGATAATTCCACTCACAGCTTTTATAATCATAAAATTACTGAATGGAAGATTGCTGTTTGGTAGCACAGAACTTGAGTATTGCTGAAAAAACACTTACGAACGCTTTTCATCTTGCACTAATCAGGACATTTTGGCAGGGATACAAATTCAAGGGGGAAAAGAAAATCAACGTTTATTCTAGATGAATGGAAAGTGCTGATTGCTTGGCAAGTGGACTCTATTAATACACAAGGTCCTGTTCTCTGCAGACAGAAAGAACATGCCTATATTCAACAATCATTCGCTGGTTCATTTCTCAGTGCAACGCCCTGACCACAGTCAACTTGCCTAGTTTTGTTTTAAAAACAAACAAACAAAGCCTGGCTGTTTCAGAGATAGTAGGAACTGCAGATGCTGGAGAATCTGAGATAACAAGGTGTAGAGCTGGATGAACACAGCAGGCCAAGCAGCATCAGAGGAGCAGGAAGGCTGACGTTTCGGGCCTCGACCCTTCTTCAGAAATTTTCTGAAGAGAAACGAGGACATCGGAGATGTACAGGAGTGGAATGCCTCATCCTGGGAGCAGATGCGGCGGAGGCAAAGGAATTGGGAATAGGGGATGGCATTCTTGCAGAAGGTGGGTGGGAGGAGGTGTATTCTAGGTAGCTGTGGGAGTCGGTGGGCTTGAAATTTCATCTCAGATGTCCTCGTTTTTCAAGGACCGCAACATCCCCCCCTCAGAGGTCGAGAACGCCCTCGAACGTGTCTCCCGCATTTCCCGCAACTCATCCCTCACACCCCGTCCCCGCAATAACAACCAAAACAGAATCCCCTTCGTCCTCACGTACCACCCGACCAACCTCCGGATCCAATGCATCATCCTCCGGCACTTCCGCCATCTGCAATCCGACCCCACCACCAAAGACATTTTTCCCTCCCCACCCTTATCTGCTTTCCGGAGGGACCACTCTCTCCGTGACTCCCTTGTCCGCTCCACACTCCCCTCCAGCTCCACCACACCCGGCACTTTTCCCTGCAACCGCAGGAAGTGCTACACCTGCCCCCATACCTCCTCCCTCCCCCCCATCCCAGGCCCCAAGAAGACTTTCCACATCAAGCAGATGTTCACCTGCACATCTGCCAATGTGGTATACTGCATCCGCTGTACCCGTTGTGGCCTCCTCTACATCGGGGAAACGAAGCGGAGGCTTGGGGACCGCTTTGCGGAACACCTACACTCGGTTTGCACTAAACAACTGCACCTCCCAGTCGCGAATCATTTCGACTCCCCCTCCCATTCCTCAGATGACATGTCTATCCTGGGCCTCCTGCAGTGCCACAACGATGCCACCCGAAGGTTGCAGGAACAGCACCTCATATTCAGCTTGGGAGCCCTGCAGCCCAATGCTATCAAAGTGGACTTCACAACCTCCTTAACCTGTCCTTCCTTCCACCTAGCCCCACGCCCCCTTGATCTGTCCGTCCTCCCTGGACTGACCTATCCCCTCCCATCTCCCCACCTACACTCGCCTTTACTGGCTCCATCCCCGCCTCTTTGACCTGTCTGTCTCCTCTCCACCTATCTTCTATCCACCTCCCCCCTCTCCCTATTTATTTCAGAACCTCCTTCCCCTCCCCCATTTCTGAAGGAGGGTCTCGGCCCGAAACGTCAGCTTTCCTGCTCGGCCTGCTGTGTTCATTCAGCTCTACACCTTGTTATCTCAGATTCTCCAGCATCTGCAGTTCCTACTATCTCTGAATTAATTCTATACCTGTAGGTGCTCATGTTTCCCCTCCCCATTTTTAAATGCTGCTCATCAATAAGTTAGTCCCTATTCTGAAAGCTGTGCACTAAACATATCAATTTCTCAGTCCCCACCCCAGATGTCATCTGATCGATTTCCAGAATTTCCTGTTTTCATTTCAAATTCCCAGCATCTTCACATGATTTGCTTAACAGGTCTGATTATTTAATGACAAATGACCAATTTCTTAACTATAATTTTACTTTCTGATAGATAAACAAGACAACGTTACACAACAATAAAACAAATTTCAACTGATATGAATGTTTCCTCTGTGTTTATACCATGGATTTATACTTCATATGAAATGTTTGTTAAGACAAATTTATTCAGAGGTTTATGTCATACTAATGATAACATGGCAAGGCTGCAGAAGGCAACACTGATGCCTTTAAGGGGAGGCTTGATGTATTCACAACAAAATTTTGTACAGGGTATGATGAATTAAAGTGAATTGACAAATATTTTTGTGAGGAATCAGATCAAATGGTCTGTTTCTGTGTTGTGGGTTCTATGTAATTCAATTCGCTTTTATGCGATTCTATACATGATATAGAGTTTGCAACAGTGGTAATTTGTCCTATCTGGTCAGTACTGGTAATTGTGCTCCAAAATAGTCTCCTCCCACTTTATTTAAAATAATCCTATACAGATATAACCTTCTACTCCTTTCCCCCTCAGTTACCAAACTTTTCCTTAAGCACATGAATCCTTTGCACCTCAACCATTTCCATATGGCAGTAAGTGCCACTTTCCAATCACCCGAGTCATTTGGTGTCTTCCCAAGATCCTTACTAAATTTATTAGTAGCTATACTAGCTTCTTGTCTCAAATCCCCACAACTGAAAATACCTCCCCAACTAATTCCTTCACAATCTTGGAGATCTTGATTTCTCATGACTCAGTCACTTTTGAGAGAAAAGAGTTGCAGCCTTTTCAATCTATCCTGACAGTTATAAATTTCAAAACTAAGTCACTGAGCAAGGCAAACATGGATGTGCTCAGCTCCAACAACACACTCAAAACTTGACGACATCCAGGATAAAGCAGCCCCACTTGATTCACACCATCCAGTCACTCCACGACCGATGCTCAGTAGCTACAGTGTGTGCCATCTACAAGCTGCTGTGCAGAAATTTGCTAAAAGATCCTTAGACAACACCTTCCAAACCCACGACTACTTCCATCTAGAAAGACAAGGGCAGCAGATACTTGGGAACACCACCATTTGCAAGTTGTCCTCCAAACCACTCACCAACCTGACTTGGAAATATATCGCCTTTCCTTCACTGTCGCCGGGTCAAAATCCTGGAATTCCCTCCATAACGGCATTCTCTCCCTACAGCAACCAGACTGCAGTGGTCCAAGAAATCAACTCACCACTACCTTCTCGAGGGTAATTTGGGAAGGGCAATAAATCCTGGATGAGCCAATGATGTCCCCCTCTCACAAGGGAATAAAAAAATTGCCACAGATCAGATTAAGGGTACAAGGTGTGATTACAATATGGATAAATCATCATTCTTTCTCCCTGCTGTAATGGTATCATAGAAGAATTGTGAAATATTTAATGATAGCTTAAACAAACAATTCTTCCCGTAACCAGCATAGAAAATGCAACATTTTACTCTAATATGTACAGAAACTAAACAGAAATAGAGATCAAATTTTATGGAGTAATGGTAACCAGATGTGCATCTGTGTAAATCAATTCCAAGAGTTGATTATGGTCTCAAAACATTTTTGCACCTACAAGACTAACAAAAACAACCACAACAGATAAGGCCGATAAGCGCAACTTACATGATGGAATAATCATGATTATTGATTAATAATGAAAACAGGATACCAAATGGTGTGCTGGATCAATATACCATTTGTTACAAAGGCAGAACTTGAAATGGCAGTTCTCATTAAATTGCCTTCTATAAACTGGAGACAAAACAATATTCAGGAATGGAAGACGGTGAAGACATAACTAAAATCGGCCCAGAGAGAAGCCCGTGTAATTCAGTTGCCATGCGGACACAGGTTAAAAAAAAAACTTTAGAAAACTCCAGTGCCAGTTTTTAGACCTGGACAAAATGACAGCTGGTCTTGTTGGACACAGGTTCTGACTCTGGCAGAGAGACCTCGAGAGGGCGACCGAAAACAGTGGCTGCTGTGCCAAGAAGAGGGAGAAACTATTTTCATGTTACCCCAAGAAGAATGCTTTTGAAAGCAGCTGTACTCAGAAGAGATGGAACCTGTGGAAATTCAAAAACCCAGGCGTTGCCAGAGGTTGAACGGCTGCTGGAAGCTAATTTGCCTATACCGAGGAGATTGAGTGAAAGGACTTTTGTTCAAACAAGGACACTAAAAGTCTCTTCCTAATGTGGAAGTGGGAACAGCTGTGGAATCACAAAAAGGAATTTGAGACTTTATCAAAAGATTATATACCTGTTGAGAGTTTGGTGTAAAGAATAAAGGTCACAAGTTTTTGGATGCATTATTTAATTGATGCAGAATACCTCTTTTCTATAATTTAGTGAATCGTTTGTCTACAAAGTGATGTCTGGTCATGTTGACTTTAGTTTGTCAGTTACAATAAAAGGTTTAAAATGTGAAATCCCAGCCAAGTGCATGCCGGTCACTGGGAAATTCACATCAATTTTTAAAAAGATAGCAGTCTCCATGGGCACTATAAGTTATCCAAGTTTTTCATATGGGACTCTCGTGAAGAACAATCATACTGGACTTGAAATGTTAACTCTGTTCGTCTCTCCACAGGCGCTGCCAGACCTGCTGCGTTTCCCCAACAGTCTCTGTGTATGCCTCTAGTATTGTGATGCATACAAATATTTTGGATGTCCAGTTACTCAA